AAAAATAAAAAAAAAAAAAAAAAAAAAAAGTGAAGTGATATGTGAAATAGGTATAGAAGGTATGGAAGGTGGATTGAGGAATAGGTGGGGCCCATAAGCTTTTTGATTATTTTTAGGGGCTTTTACTGTTATATGACCCTTATGGGCTGTGACCTTGTTGGCCTTTTGTCTCCTTTTTAGCGCTTCCTTATCGAATATTTCCTTTTAATTTTATTCTCCCTTTTTTTTTTTTAATTTCTTTTTAGTTTTATTCTTCTTTTTTTTATCTTTTTTTTTTCCTTCTGATTCTCCTTTTTTCTTCATATTTTATAATTTTTGGAAAAAGAAAAACTCAATTCTCTATATATTAAAACATTATTTTAGTTTTATTAATGTTTAATTTATAAATACGTTTATTAAATTAATAAATAATAATTATTTGCCATAACTGAACGATAATTATTTAAATAAATTATCTTAAAATACTTTTTAAAAATTACTTTACATTTAAAAAATCGGAATAATTACGTAACTTTAAATAAATCATCAAATTCGTAAACAATAAAATATATATAATACTTTATTATTGCTCCGTAGCTTCAAACTTTGATACGTCGTTGTCATGAACCATACAGATTCAGGTATTATTCGAAAAATAAAATATAGCAATAATAAATATAAAAATATTTGATAAATTGTAAATTTATTATTAAAAAAAAATTAAAAGATGAAAAGTTTGGTCGTATTATAAAGGAGATAAAATCTGTGTGTATATGTGTGGCATTTTCCATGATAATTTAATTTCTCAATTATTTTAAATAAATAGTTTCTTTTCATTTTAAATTATTAAATAAAAATTATATTTCCACGTCATTTTACCACTTTTTGTAAAATTATAATTAGTTCAAACTATATAAAATAAATTAAAATTATATAAAAATTTTAAACTTTGAAATTTTATAAAAATGTCTATTTCGATTGACCCAAAAGGGCAAACTAACTCGTTATTTAGTATTTATAACTTAGGCTCGGACATACCTTATGGGTGTGCTATGAGAAAAAAGACGACAATTAAAATGTGAAAATCGAAAATTCTTTAAGATCACTCGAGCTTTGTGAGAAGGACAGTAGACAATATTGTACCTTAATTCTCGTCTTCAATGGACATGTTTTTTTTTTTTTGGAGCATATGCTGAAAATCCGTCGATATTTGTCCTGATCAAACTTCATATCTCGACCCAAATTTGTAATATCTATGATTTTTTCTAAAATATCCGACGACGTTCAAATATGTTTCGATATATTCGTAAATCTAAGTTAATGATATTGCTATGGTCATCGATTTTTTTACCATTTGGTTAATTAGATTAATTTGTGTAGTTTGATGGGATTAAATGTATATTACTAATAAATTAAATCGTTCGTAATTTTATTGTTTAAAGAAAAGGAAAAAAAAAATCACTTTCAACACCTTTTCCTGTTGTGTTCTTTATTCCCAAACAAAACGACGTCGTTTTTGACGTACTTTTTTGATTTGGAACTTATTTATTTATTTTTCAAAAAAAGAAGGGATATTCTTGCAATAAATGGAAGCTTTGGGGTGAGAAAAATGAAAAAGCAAAGCTGCAAAGCATATATATAAAAGACATTGGGAGGGAAAAATAATAAAATTAATTTAAAACTCTTTCTCTCTCTCTCTCTCTCTAAAAATTTAAACCCATTTTACCTTTTTACCCCTCCTTTTTCTTCTTTGACTAATTATATAAAAATTTTATTATTACCTCGTAACAAGTAATCATGTTCTAATGAAGAACGAGGACGAAAGAAAACCGAGCGACTGGTTCTCTTGTACTCGAGTTGAGATCTCCGTTTTTTCATAGCTTTATTTAAGAGAAAATAGGGAGTCGAGCTGAAATGGCTATACGACTTCAAAATAATTTTTGAAACGTACGTTGATTGAACTGATAGGTATTAGGGTGAAGCAGCGGGTTCGAGCCCCATCAATCCCGTAGATCCAAATCCTAGGCATAAATATTAACGGGTTCGAGCCCCATCAGTCCCGTAGATCTAAATTCTAGGCATAAATATTAACAGGTTCGAGCCCCATCAGTCCTGTAGATCCAAATTCTAGGCATAAATATTAACGCGTTCGAGCCCCATCAGTCCCCTAGATCCAAATTCTAGGCATAAAGTATTAACGGGTTCAAGCCCCATCAGTCCCGTAGATCCAAATCCTGGCATAAATATCAACGAAAAAATGAGTCGTTTCATTGTAAAATATAGATTAATTAAATTTCTTTTTTAAAA